TCTATAATACCCAATCTAAATCTTCAGTTTTCAGCTTATCACCATGGTCCTTTTTATATTGTGTGGCACTACTGAGGAGCATTTACCTCTATCATCTTTTTAATTCTACTCCAAATAGTTTTGTAGGCCTTTGTTAGACTGACCTTTAGCTCACTGTTTGTCAATCTAAAACAAGCGTACCTCCCTCAGCCTCTTTTTAAAGGACATGTATTCTAGGTCCGAAAACGTCTTAATGGATCTACACCAGACTCTTACTACTTCCTTCTTCTTGAACTCGTTGAGAGGTGGGGGCAGAGCAGAATCAGATGCACTAGATGTGGCCTCATCAGTGAAATGTGGATGAGGATAATAACTTAACGTGGTTGTTCACAGTCCTAACATAGTCCAGTGCTGTGGCTTGCCTTATTTACGATGTCTTGGTTAGGGAAGCTACCAGGGTTAAATACACTAGCCATTCCCTTCCTAGGCTGTACTGAGAAAGAGGGTTGGTCTGCCCAAGGCACAGAATTTGCATTTATTGATCCTCCTAAGGTTTCTGCTGCTTCCAACCTCAAGTTCATCGAAGTGTCTCTGGACTAAGTCTGCCATTTTTTGTCTCAACCAATCTCCCTACGTTAGTGTCATCCACAAAGTTACTGAGGGACTGCCATTAGTGCCATTAAGATATTGAAGATGTTTTTGCTCAGATATCAGCAATCTCTGGAGTACTCTGCCCATTATAGTCTGCTAACCAGACATCAAGCCTTTGATCATTAGTGTTTAAGACTGGTAACGCAGCTAGTTTTCAACCCATGTAACAGTCCATTTATCCAACCCACATTCTCTCTGCTTCCAGAGGAGGGTCCTGAGGGAGATGATGTCAAAGGCCATACTGAAGTCAGTCTCATCCACAGAGACAGTAATTTTGTCATAAAAGGCTGTCAAGTTAGTGAATCCAAGCTGAATATTCGTAATTACTTTTTGGTCCTTTTTGCACTTGAAAAGGGGTTCTGAGATCTGTGCTCCATGATCTTTCCAGAGAGCAAGGTGAGGCTGGACAACCTGCAGTTCCTCGAGTTACCTTACTCCTCAAATGCAACAAGAACTAGTAGTTTAAATATAAATTTTCTACCACATCCTGTTTTTTCAGTCTGTTCTCGAAATGAGAATTCTCATCTAATGTTTTGTCTTTGTCTTGTTATACACCAGGCACTTTGGTTGCGTGGTGTTTTTTTTGTTTTCTTGTTTGGTTTTACAGAAAAATGCCTGCCAAATTTTTCTTGCAAATTGACTTCTTGTCTGCTCTGAATTTGTTTTGTGTATTGTTCATTTACCAGGCAGCTTTCTGCTTTTGCCATGGTATGAGGAGAACGTAAGCAATCTATTGTGTGGGGGTTTTATTTTGGTTTTATTTAGTGCTAGGCATTGTTTCTGTTGGTCCTGACCCTAAATTAGTTTTCCTCTTTTGTTTCTCTTGTCATTTACATAAATTAGGTTATTCAGATCAAGATTCTTGGACTCTGCTATGGCGTAACTTTTAATACTTTTTTTTTTTCTCTCTGTGGCCACATTTATGTTAAAAATCCATTATAAATAATTTATGACTCTTCTAGAATTTCTTATACTACTCTTTAGGAGTTATACATTTATTTGTGTATATATGTCATATGTAAGTACACACACATATATAAATACAAAATTCTGTTATGTTATTAGAGCTCTATTTATGTGAAAGAGAAAATACAAAGAGTGATAGAAAGTTTGCGTACTCACCATGAGACTGGTGGTTTTGTACATTTTACCTTCAGATTAGTTTCAGCAGAAATGAAAAAAGGAAATGCATGTACATTTTGTGCCCAAGTTTAGTCCAATATGCAGACTATACAGTTTTTAAAATCCGTACTATTTGTGTAAGATAGTGGAGTTTGGCAGGTGTATTTCCCCACATACAAATTCTTTACCTATCCACAAGTTGCCATTTAAATGAAATCTGTCTCTGCTGCAGGGTAAGAGTATTAACAGCCTTTCCTTTTTCAGTACCTTTTTGCTTTCTTGTGCCATAACAACTGGCTTCTGTGTTCAGGGATTTGAACGGGTGGGGTGATCTTCTCTTCTGTAGCCATGGATAGCAGGAAGGTAGATCAGTAAAAGAAGAGTTAGATGAGCAGAGAGCTGAAGATAGGCATTGAAGGGGCTGAAGAGTGGCCACTGTTAATTACTTGGTATTGGACACCTTTAACTTCATTGCACTAGAGTTTTCAGCAGATGGTAGACCAAGTTCTGACGTTTTAATTATTTCTCTCAGAAATGGTGTTGCCCCATGAAGATTCTTTTGAAATTGTTCTTTTCAAATGTAAAATATCTGCTCCAAGGAGGAGTTCATCATAAGGGGGTGTCAATAGACATATTGAAGTGAGGAGTTTTGTGACAGCACGTTCAGATTTTGAGCAGGTTACCTGCATGATGGTTTTCAGGGACTTCTAGAGCTGGAGCAGAGGGAACAAATGTGATGTGCTGTGGTGACATCAGATATCCTACAAAATACAATAGAAGAAAACTAAATGTTGAGAAAGTGTAGTAGCAGAGACCTGCAGAGCTATCTAACCGTCTCCTGTCATTACAGCATCTGAGATCTAACCTGACTAAATACCAACCTAAATTGTACCAAGTGCTAGATGATGGGAGAAGACTCCTTTTTTCTGTTAGTTGCTCAGATCTCGAAAGTCAACTGAACCAACTAGGAGAACACTGGTTAAGTAACACCAGCAAGGTTACGAAGGAGCTTCACAGACTGGAGACAATACTGAAGCACTGGACAAGGTAATGCTGGTGTAATGGACAGTATAAACTTCTTCACCTGCTATCCTCAGGTCAAAGTCATTCTGAACCCAGAACTATTAGATTCAACATTTAAAAGAAAGTACTTCAAGATGTATGTGATAGTTTAACTGCTCTACAGTATCCTACTTCTGCTCCATAGAAGTGCTATCATACTCTCTCATTTGCAATAAAACATGTACCAGATAACAGCTGGTGAGAGGAAGTCAGAACATACCTTATTTAGATGACTAATTTAGAAGCCCCATGTGCATACAGGTTGATGAGAAAGGATATGAGTAGCCTCAGCATGTTCTGGTAGGGGCGTTGCCACTGCTGGGTTCTTCTGGGTCTGTGTCATTGCATATATGGAAGGGAGCTTTTAGCTGCCTTTACTAATGTTCATATGCTACTTTCGAAATTAATTCTGTGAGTGATATACAGGCTTTGTCTATTACTCATAATATCCCTGGCATGTTGGCTCACTAGCCTTTCAAGAGAGGTTTGTATGTATAAAGGTTATGTGGAGACATTCTTATTGTGACGTCTCATTAGTTGCTTGCAATATGAAACAATATGGAGAGAGTTTCTGAAAAAAAAATTAATTTTCTACTCCAAGATACCTTGTGGTAAAGCTTTTGGAAGAATGAGGCTTCTAATGGAAAGCAAAAATCTGTTTGAGTGTGGGGTGGCATGCTGTTACAGCTTGCCCAAACAGATTTGTAACCTAGTTACTAGTCCTTCATTAAACTCAGTTCTTCCTAAGAGACAAAATGAAGGCACTGTTAGGAATTGTGGGTGTAATGGCTAAAATAAGAGCTTCCTGATACCATGCCTGTCTTTAGAATTAAATCATGTTTTTCTGAAATTTGATAAAGGAAAGAAAATATTTTTATTTTTATTTTAAATCTGACTTATAGTATCTTCCTCTAACACATGGAGGAAAGACTGTTCAGCTGGATGCAAGAAGTGGCAATACTGTTTTAGTTTTCTTTAAACGTCTTTACAGATATCAGAGTGAATCAAATGAATTGACACATTGGTTGGAATCTGCAAAGGAGCAACTTGAGTTTTGGAGCCAGCAGTCTTTGACAGTTCCTCAGGAACTGGAAACAGTCCGAGACCACCTGAACTCCTTTTTGGTAAGTCATTCATGGACCTGGGACACCATTTTCCCTGCAATTACAAATAAACAGTTAGGCAATCATATGGATATATTTTTTCTCATCATTGAAGTAATGAGTATGCAAAAAAAAAAATCAACTTCTGTAGGTGAGATGTCCTTCAAAAAACTAGTGCGTAATGCACATTAAGTGTTCCTTTGCTATATGCAATGATTGTAAAGCTTGATGATTCTGAAAACAGAAAATGGTTTTATGACTGAAAACAATTCTTATTCTCACTTGGTCTGAAGTATAGCTAGTAAACACTAATAGAAAGTACATATTTTTAAAGGGAAGGGCGGATATTCTTAGCTTTCTGAGGTAAAGCTTTAAGTACAATAAAAAAGTAGTTGATTATTTCCACAAAAATGATTCTACTTACAGGAGTTTTCGAAAGAAGTGGATGCTAAATCATCACAGAAATCTTCTGTCCTGAGTACTGGGAACCAGCTCCTCAGGCTGAAGAAGGTGGATACAGCAGCATTGCGTGCGGGATTGTCCCACATTGACAGTCAGTGGACAGAGCTGCTCACGCAAATCCCAGCAGTACAAGAGAAATTGCACCAGGTAAGGAAGACCAGTGGTGACCTTTGATTTTTCAGAAAATTCAGACCATATGGTTGGCACTGCCTTTGAGAGATGGTTGCTCCCTTCCTCAATTTGTCCGTGTAAGGCAAGATAGGAACAACGTTACTCCTGTTCTAATGTCAGAAAACGTACACTTATGTCCAAATCCTGTCTACTCATACTGTGTGACACCAATTGGTATTAATGTCAGACTTTCACAATTATGTTTTTTAAATTTTAACCAAGGAAGAGATGAGGATTTCTTCAACATGTTGGTATGCTTTTCGGAGAAAGGGAGTTCACATCCCTGTGCCCTGTCAGGTTTAGATGGTGTTTTTTTTCAAATTGAATAGACTGGGTTCAAGTTTGTGCAAGACAAAATAAGTCTGAAAACATTGTGCAAGGCTCCTGCTAGTGTTTGTAGGAGCAGGAGGGTTTTGATTGGGTAGTTTTGGTTTTTTCATGCTATGATACTGAAGTTAAAGAATTAAACTAGTCTAAAAGTTGGTTTAGTATTTAGTTGCTAGGAGGTTGTGAGTGTAAGCCATTGCTTCAGTTTATAATTTGGAATGATCCCAGAGTTAATAATATCATTGTCATTTAGGGGGAGAGAGAAAGGGTAACAAATATTAACTGAGTCTATTATATTAAACAAAATAATTTCATTCAGTAGTTCTCTGAACTGTCTTGTAATGAAAAATATATATGTCATAGAACGTGTTTCTGAGTAACTAAATGTAAGCACACACTTTATCAAATGTTGAAAGTGAATCTTTTAAGAAAAAAGCAGGTACTATTCAAAATCAGCCCATTTAGAAATCACCACACAAGAAGAGTAGTATAAAATTATTTTCCATGGGTCTATTCTTTAGTCATGTACAAGGACAGGAAAAGCGTAACTTAAAGCTGATCTTCTACATAAGCCCAATATGGAATTACAGAATGAGAATGCGGAACCTTTAGGAAGTCAAAAATGGAATCTCTGAGTTTGTCCAGTTTCTTTGTATAGTGAAGACTGGAAATAAGAAGCCTTTAGTATAATATTTTCTTATTAAGATGCATGCAGCTATACAATATACCTTTTTTTTTTCTTTTTTAACTACTTTTTATAAACTTCAGTGATATGTTAGGGATGTAGAATAACATGATAATAAGAGCAGGTAAAGGAAATGCACTATGGTAATGAAAAGCAATGAATTCTTATCCATTTTCTTCACAACACGCATTTTAAGTCTGTTATCTCTGCAGCTCCAGATGGACAAAATTCCTTCTCGCCATGCTATCACTGAAGTTATGAGCTGGATTTCACTGATGGAAAATGTCATTCAAAAAAGAGAATATTAAAAATGCAGTAGGACAGAAAGTCATTCAGGGTTATGTCCAGAAGTACAAGGTACTGAGTGGAAGTGTTTTTGATTTCCCTTTTGAATTATCCACATTAAATATATATACATAGGTAAAGTATAAGTGATTTAAGGAGGGAAAAAAAAAATACTTACAATGTGGAGTGGTTAGAATTGTACACAAGTTAGAATTTGGTAATAATTGATACTGTGGAAAAGAAACCAAAAGTAGTTTTACTCTGCTATTTAGTTATGGCATGAATATAATTTTTAATATGCTTACCTTAATTTCCAGGTAAATCCAAAGCAATATGCACATGATTAAACCTTATTAGATCTGTCTTTCAGCCAAAACCACAAAGCACTTTGCAAATTATATAAGTTGTTCTATGACTTCTCTGCATAGTATCACCTTCTCCTGAAAGCATAGCCTGTTCTTGAATGGAAGGTGGCTAGTGTTTTACAGATCAAGATTAATTTTGATCAGTGTCTGAAGCAAAAATGAAAGATGCTATATCTTCAGATAACTGTTGAGGAGTATACATTTAACACAATTTCACTTCTTTAACTAGATCAGTAACACTCTTGTAATAGATCTGCACACAGTGACTTTCTTCTCAGGGCCAGATTTGTTTCACTAGTCTCCTGAAAAATCACTGTACTTCTTGGCTATTATTATTCCTTGTAAATAAGAATATTTTCCATTTTACCTATTATTTTTGTATTAAAAATTTTGAGAGTAAATAAAGTGAAAAAAATTCAATATATGCCCAGTTTTTCTTAAATCTGATCCGTGAGACCAATATCGATACATTTACAGATTATTGGGGGGGCGAGGGGGCGCGTGGAGGAAGTCAGATTCTTTATTCCAAAGACAGTAAGTTGCTGCTTTATTTCTCGATATTTAGGAAACAGTAACAATGTTTTTAATTGCTGGTCATTTACTAAAAAATCTTTTAGCTAAATTGTGGTAAAGTAGTAATTTGTGAACATTTTTCCTCTGTTTTGCAGGAAGGTGAGAAATTATGGTACTTACGTTTTGGGTTTTTTATTCCCTTCTTTCCTACTAGGGTTTCAAGATAGATTTAAACTGCAAACAATTGACGGTAGACTTTGTGAACCAATCGGTGCTACAAATTAGCAGCCAGGATGTTGAAAGTAAACGTAGCGACAAAACTGATTTTGCAGAACAGCTCGGAGCAATGAACAGGCGTTGGCAGATCCTGCAAGGCCTGATAACAGAAAAGGTAAAGAAAAAATACTAGCTGCTCTGTAGCGAACTTTCAAAATACACAGAACTATAAGATTATAGTGGTTGGAAGCCTCTGCAGGTTAGCAGAGCAAACTTTACAGTTAGGTCAGATTGCACAGGGACTCGCTTAGCTGACTTATAAAATCTCCAAGGACAGACTCCACAACCTCTCTGGGCAGCTCTTTCCTGTGAGGGACAAGTTTCTGCCTTGTTCCAAATCAGAATTTCCCTCGTTGCAACTTGTGACTGTTATCTTGTCTCCTTTTACCGCGCATCTCCAAGAACGGTTTGCCTCCATCTTCCCCATACCTCCTCATGAGGACAGCACAATGAGATGATTCCTTTGCTGCCTTTTCCCCAGGCTGAGTGAAGCTAGCCTCTCCTTGTACATCATGTGCTCCAGCCCGCTGTGACCTTAGGGGCCATTCAGCAGTTTGTCAGTCTCTCCCTCGCACTGAAGGGCCTAAAATGGGTCTTAAGTGTCAAGAGGAAGGCAAGAACCACTTCTCTTGACCTGCTGGGTGCACTCAGTAATCTAACCCAGGATGCAGTTGGCCTTCATCAGCACAAATGCACACTGCTAATTTATGATGTTCAAGTTATTGCCCACCATAGCCCCTAGGACCTTTCCTTCTGTCCAGACTGCTGCCAACCTGTATTGTTGCATGAGGTTATTTTGTCCCAGGTGCAGGACTTTACATTTGTCTCTGCTGAATTTCATGAGGATTGAGGAGTCTCTTCCTCCATCTTGTTGAGGTTTCTCTAAATGACAGCCCTACTCTCTAGGATATCAACTACTTTTCCCAAATCAGTGTCATCTAGGAATCTGTTGAAAGCACAGTCCATCATGTCATTCAGTTTATCGATGAAGGTATTAAACAATACCAACCCCAGGACTGACCGTGAAGATGCATCTTGTAAATGACTGACAGATAGACATCGAAGTGTTTACCACTAACCTTTAAGGCTAATGACTCGGGTCAGTTCATTCATTTGTAGACCTCTCATCCAGCCCACCTCTCCTCAGTTTTGCTACTCTATGGGATAGCATATCAAAAGTCTTGCAAAAAACAAGGTAAATAGCATCTACTACTCTTCACTTGTCCACAGGGTCAGTCGTATCATCATAGCAGGGGCAATCAAGTCAGGCACAATTTACCCTTGATAAGGCCATTCTTGTTCCTCCTCCTTGTTCTTTATGTATGTGGAAATGGCTTCTGGCAGGATTTGTGCTATAGCCTTTTTCCAATCACCAGCAACTTCCTCCAACTGTCATGACCTTTTTAAGTTGATAGACAGCAGCCTTGAAATGACATTGATACCCTTGGATACATCCTGTCTGGTTCTGTGGACTTTTATATATCCAGCCTACTTAAGTACCCCCTAATTCTTTCCTCCTCTACCATGACTAGTACCTCTGTATGCCAAAATTTGTTAATTGACATGAAGACCTGGGAGGCATGAGAGGAGACCTTGTCAGTAAGATCAGATCAAGGTAGGTATTGTCTACCTCAGACCATTCTGTGGTTTCCCATTAGTTGCTGGTATACTCGTGAAGAGTAACAAGAAGGACTTCTGTCCCTCACTAGTTAGTTCCAGCCAAGATTTTGCTTTCCTAACATCAGCCCTGCATGGCCAGGCCATGCTTCTAGGCCCATTCTTTGTAATCCATTTTCTGTGGATTTGTCATTTTTGTGACTTAAGGAAGTTGTCCTTGAAGATCAACCAGCTTTCTGGACTTCTTTGTCCTTCAGTACAGCTTCCCATGGGATTATGCTTACCTGAACAAACCAACATCTGCTATCCTAAGGATCTTTAGTCTGCTACTAGCTTTCCTTACTTCAGTCACAACTGTCTCATTGTCATTGTGGTCAAGGCTGCTGTTGACCATCACATCCTCAACCAGTTCTAATTAAGGTTACAGCTAATTAAGATGGCTCATTCCCAAGAGTGGAGTTTGTCTTAAGTAAAGTGAATGCTTTTTATGGCAATCCTGCTGCTTTCAAATTCTGCTTTGGTTTTGTTTGTTTGCTCTAAGAATAGAAGTGCTATCTCATTTGCCATTGAATAACAGCTAGAACAATCAGAAAAATCTAAGTAACTTTAAAGCAGTCAGTTGAAAAAGGAGATAGTATAAATCTTCACCTGCTTTACCACAGTTATAAGCAAGAAATATAAAACGTATGTTTGCATGCTTAGTTTTATTTGGGAAATCCTGAGGTTCTTGATCTTTGAAAAAGAATTCCACTTCATAAAAATGTTCTGCTAAAGTGTTAGCTTCTTTCAGTGTCATAATATTTTAGTGAGTTATCTCGATATATTTCTCAATAAACCAATTTTTTAATTATGAACTTTTACAAATAGCCGATATATTTAAATTTGAATGCATATACTGTTTTTAAATTCTGAAAGCATTGAATTCTAAGAAGGCAGAGGTCAGCATTGGTCTTCACTGATTTGTTCAATTGACCCAACAATAAAGGTAATTCTATGAGAAAGTATATACTGAAATTTCTTTGCAGATCCAGCTGTTGGAAAGTTTGCAGGAATCCTGGGCAGAATATGAAAATAGTGTGCAGTGCCTAAAAACTTGGTTTGAAACCCAAGAGAAGAAGTTGAAACAGCAACAGAAAATTGGAGACCAGGCTTCAGTACAGAATGCTTTGAAAGACTGTCAGGTAATGTCCCCTTAAAAATAACAATATTCTCTTTCCAACAGTTTGAAACAACACTTGATAAAGCCATGTGAAAGGTTCATATCAGTGAAGTCAGTGACAGAACTCCTCTTTACTTCAGCGAGGAAGAGATTTAATTCATTTGCAAACCAGATTTTTCTGAATTTATAAACAAGGCCTCTACATGTATCAGATAATTTTTGCTCAAAAGTACTTTGTTCTATGAGACAGCAAATAATAAATCTCACAGCAGTTCAAATGTGTAATTAAACTCTGACAGGACAACTGTATGCCCAATCCTGGTGTTCTCATCCCCTTAAAAGTGACTTAGGAAGCATGTTGATCTTGGTATGACTGACTTTCCTGCATGCATTTAATGAATGGGACAAATATGATCTAGCTTTTAAGTCTTCACAAACAGAACAGCTGGAAATCTATTCAAATGAAATGCATAAGAGAATTTAATCTGTATTCACCAGTGTATTAAACTCATCTTTGTTTCTGTAAAGGCAAATAGTTGGTTAGGCCAGATATGTTAGAAGTCAATTTTTATTTTCTTTTTTTTTTTTTTTTTTTTTTTTCAAAATTCTTGACCTAACTTTTCAAACTGGTTGCAGTGCTTAGTTCCAATTCAGGTATCTTTCTGATTTCAACACAATAAAGCCATATGACTGAAGCAAGGGTAATTTAGCATAGCCTGGCATAATTGGCAGGCTGCGCTTAGCTGGAGTTCAAAGCTGAATCTGATTTATCACCTTTACGGTTCCTTTTGGTCAGGGAAGTTAACAAATACACTTGGGCAGTCAGTTATGAAGCAAGACTTTGATCAGCAGAGAAACTAATTGTTTAAGAAATAACTGTATCAGACACTCCCAGATATCCGGTTCAACTAGTACAAGAGCTGCAGTTTATTTATTAACGGATGTTAGTTGCTGCTTAGTGTCATATTAGTAAGTAACAGCAAACATTTTTTCCCATCACAGATCAGAAACAATAATGTGTCTTTAATTCAGTTATGAGTTTAAAATGATGAATAAGAAACGCCTTTTCACAGAGAACCAGAAATATTTGCTATTCTTGGTGTTTGAAACTTGCCTGGTTTACATTCTGAATTTTGGAGCAAACTTGTACAAACTTCAATGCCATCTTTTAGTGTTAAAATCCACTTTTTGGAAAGTCAAATTTACTACATACAACTTAGAAGTGTTTGCTTTGTTGTCAGCTGGTGAAAAAAAAGATGTATTCTTCCAAGGCTATAGTCTCACAGAGTCTTCTTGTCCTCTCTCCTTTATTTTCATGCTATTGAGGCATGAGGAAGATCACAGGCTTTGTGAGTAGTGAATGTTACATACCAGAGCTTCTGCACTTCACTTGTTGATAAAACGTGATAAAACCGGCGAACTTTGAATCAGCATTTCCATGACCAATCTAGGGTCATCTTAAGTCAACAACACAGTCAGCACTTGCCTGAAGCAGCAAAAAAAGCCACTAACAAGTTGTCATGGCCTCAGCGCTTATGTACTGAGCCCTGTTTTCTTCACTTGTTTTCATGCCAACCATTCATTTTCTTCCCATTTTCTTGGGGTAATGTGTGGGAACGCTGAGCAGAGCAAAACGCTGTCAAGCTCATTAATGCTTCCCAACAGCATGCAGCCTTGAGTAGGCAATAAGGAAAATTCCTGCAGTCTGTTGTCATTGGCTGAACTCCAATGAAGTTGTCGTCTAGAAAAGGGGAAGGCTCGCTGTCCTCGAGCAAGGGATTGTGCTGGGACCTGGCAGAGGAATAAAGACTCCACTTGATGTGGGGGAGGCATGGCAAATTGATATCTTTCCCTCGGAAGTAATTTTATCCTTTTCCTTGGGTGACAAAATCCATTTTTCCAGAGGCTTGAGCCAGCTTTGGACTAATTAAAAAGCCCTCTCAGTGTTCTAGGGCAAACTAAGACACACAGCAATTTTCCCATGTATTGCTGTTCTATTTTTAATGAGTTTTGGACTCTTACATGAGAGCAGAAGATTACAAGGAAGTTTAATGTAGAGGACATGCTTCTATTTAAATTAAAGACAAACAACTATGCTTTAAAGGGAACGTAAAATACTAAATAAAATTGCTGATGAGTTATGATTCTCTTGAGAATAAAAAGCCAAAGTATGCAAGTGTATCTTTGCTGTTTTTTAAACTAAGGAACTTAAGGACATCTTTTCTGTCTCAAGGTATAATCTAGCCAATTAAACAAACAGAAATACTCAGGTATCTTCTTTTTCTTTTCAGGAATTAGAAGAATCAATAAGAACAAAGGAAAAAGAAGTAGAAAATGTAGAACAGAGTGGTCTGTCTTTGATACAGAACAAGAAGGAAGAAGTCTCTTCTGCTGTTATGAATACACTGCAAGAAATTAACCATTCCTGGGCCAATTTGGATCACATGGTAAAAGAATCATCAAGGGGCAAATTACAGCTCCAGGAATAGGGCATGGAGGAGAGGGAGAATTAGCAGTGTGCAGCTAGTGCATTCTTTCTGTATTGTAGGGGAAGAGATTCTGAATTGTATCCCTGTTTCCATGGGTACACATGTGTGTACACTCTACATGAAGTGGGTATAATATTTCCTATTTCAAGGATGCTTTTAATTCTTGTAATTGAAGCTTTTTAGATGCTTCCTGATATTTAGTGGAAAGGTACCAAATGATCTGTAAGGAACTACCTTTTCAAGCACACAGGTCACAGGTCTTGCAGAATAAGGAAGAGATCAGCATTAATTGTCATCAGCCAAAGCTTGATCAACATCAGTCCGCCCTCTCGGGAGGAATGCAGTATGTTAGTGCTAGCCTCTCCACTGACTTTCAGAGGCTGATTTGCCTGCCTAAGAGATATGTGTTTCATAGTCTTAATCAGTTTCTCTTGATCCTGCTTTGGACTAAAGTAGAATGGACTTGATATCTGCTTGATCTCGACCATCCTAGCTTTATAAAATCAAGCAGAATTTTATGCTGTACCCAGTGTAAGCCCAGCTAGCCCAACTGATGGTTGTGCAAAATCTTCATTCTCCCAACAGATTTAAGATTGGGCATGCAGAACAAGTAGTATCTGAAATCAAAAGAAAGGAAATAATTTAAATAAACCCCAAGTATCTTGAATGCTTTTCATTTACTTTTTTTTTTTCCTTCCTCCTCCTCCTAGGCTAGCCAACTGAAGATATTGTTGCAATCTGTTCTTGATCAGTGGAGCATTTACAAAGCAGCTTATGAAGAACTGAATAGTTACCTGACAGAAGCCAGATATTCTTTGTCCCGTTTTTATCTTCTTACTGGTTCTTTGGAAGCTGTGAAAGTCCAAGTTGATAACCTTCAGGTGAAAAGAATACCATGCCTCTTGACATACTAAGGAAGGATTCAAGGATTAATTTTGTCCTCATTGCATGGATGCAAATAACTATACGTTTTGGTTCATAAGAAATGGAAGTACAGACATACTGGCACATTAAAATCAGATGACGTTAAGAGAACACATTATCAAATAGCCATTACATGTTTCATTTTGCAGAAGAATAATGATAGTTGTTTTCTTTTTAGATTTTTGATGCGGTTCTTTAAATTTTGAGCTGTACTGTCAAATTGTTAAAAGTTTTAAAATCGTGCTAGTGACCATTAAAACTAAAGTTTCTCATGCTGCTTCGTCAGATTTCTGAGCTACTGGCACATGCTGAGATCACATTTTAAACCCACCTCCCCCCAACCCTGTGGTTGCATTATATTGAAGATCAGAGGGAATAATGTTCCAGAAGCTGAGATACTTGCATGTTCAACTGATTTTCCACTGTATGAAAACCATAAAATACAATGAGACTCCTGTTCTAAAATTACAAGTTATTATTAATTGAAATAAATTAATTTACATAATTAAATTAAAAATTATTAAAATTATTTTTCTATTACATAGAATAGGCTTTTATTTCAAAGAAAGTTGTTGTCTTTGGAGTCAAAAATAATTATGCAAACATTTCCAGATACTTAAAACAACTTGTGTTGTTAGTATTTGCCAGCAAATTTAAGTTTACTTTATCATTTAAATATTTTGTGTGATTTGAAGTCCAGACATGCATAAAGCCAAATTCCCTAAGCATGATCACTTTTCAAACCAAGATTTAAAAAGCATCCATTAATGCACTTTAAAACCTGGAAGAGTGGTTGTAATTTTTTACATGTCAGAGAGGAGTCAGTAAAACAATAGGTACAGAAAATTACTACTTTTGCCTATTAAGATCTTGATTATACTGTTTAATCAGGTTGAGATTTGCTGGGCTGTTCAAACTATAATAATATGCATAAAAATGTTTAAGGTTAAAAAACAAAAAAGGAGCATTTTCCCTGCCAGCTGTACTTCAGACTGGTAAGTGAAAGAGCTAGAACTTTATTTGCAGAATAAAGCTTTTTTTTTATGCTGTTACTTTTTAAATGTCATTCTAAACAGGAAAATGTTATTTATTTTCTTCCAACAGTTAAGTTTTTATTTCTGAAGCAGTTCCATGCATTTAATTCTTCTGTGCAGGAGTACTTGTTTAGAATAATTTCTTTTACAGGACTTTAACGTTTTGTGAAAATATTAGGTTAAAATTTACTTTTTGCTACACCTTGATATTGAATCAAATTAATCCATCAACAGTCTTTGTATATATAAACAACCTTCTATTGAGATGCAACACACATGAAATCGAGTTTTGCATGGATGACCTGTATGATGTAATTGATACATACTATTTTGAAATGTTTCTACATCATGCAATTGTAGTACCTCATGTATCCTTTTTTTAAAAAAAAAAAATTCTTTTCTCTGTTTTAGATCCTACAAGATGAATTGGAAAAGCAAGAAAATAGCTTACAGAAATTTGGTTCTGTGACCAATCAATTGTTGAAAGAATGTCACCCACCAGTGACTGAAACACTTACCAACACTTTGAAAGAAGTGAATATGAGGTAGAAAATGTCTGTGTGTTGAACTTTACTTTCAGTAGTAAATTTGCATTTATCCATTGACCCAGTTTTCTATCATTTCTATTTTTGTTATATTTTATTATTTTGTGGTTTTTCGCATCTGGGGGGCTTGTGGGGGTGGGTGGGGTCACTCTTTTTGCCAAGAGCTAGAGCAGAACTGTCTGATTTCCTACTACTAATAAATGAAACATCATTTTCTCCAGCAAAGCATTTGGACATTACTGTCAGTAGTTTTGCTCCATGCTTGGCTGCCAACCAAGATTCATAAATACCATGCTAAAAAATAATACTGTACTTAAAATGCAAGAATCCTGTCTGAAAATTTTGTTTATTATGCATGCACTGGGTTCCCCAGATTTTAGGTTGCTATTTGTAGTTGTAGGAAGAACATGATAGATCTAAGCCTTCACCAGTAAGCTTGGCAAACATCTTCCCCACCTTTGAATCCAGGCCAGAACCGATGTAAGGGTTTACTCAGAGAAGCTGCAGAAAGGCAGGATCCAAAAGCAAAAACTAGTTTGGTGGAAAGTTGGCGTTTTTTTTGAAAACACAACCATGCCAGATTTATTTTAATCTGTGGTCCATCCTGTTCTAGAATCTGGAAGTGAAGGGAGGGATTATTCACCCCATTTCAAAAAAGCTACTGAAGGATTTAATAGTTTCAATGATGACTAACAAAATTGTCACTTCACAGTTTTTATCATATAATAATAATTGAAAAATACTGTGATTTCCTTTGGTAAGGAAATAACGAGGCAATTTGATAAATACCAGCACTTTTGAGAAAGTAGATGAGAAATGTTTCTGGTTGCCATTAGAGCCAAGAATTCAAAGGAGGATTAGATATTTAATTGAATAATAAAAATATGAAGAGTTTTACTAAGTCTGGGACTATTTTAGAAGGGAGCAACGTGGAGCTTTATGACTTTTAAATATTCTGTCAGAGTTTGGGGGAAATTGCAGGAGAAGAAATGGTTTCTGGTTTGCACCCATTTTGGGCCTCTTCAGCCCTTGCAGGAATCTGGTACTGGCAGTACATGGTCAGTCATGGATGCTCTGTGCAGTGAACAAAGTGTGCTAAGTGGAAGCAGGAGGTTCACTTCAAAAAGAGCACTCCTCAAGCATTAATATGCAGCATCCAAGACATAGCACAGATCAGACCTGCTGTGATGGGTCAGAACAGCCTGTCAACATATTTGTTGGATTCATTTTTTTGTTTTTTTTTTTCCCCCAAATGTCTGGATCTTGATTATTACCAAATTTCTTAAAAGCTAAAAGACTATGGGAAACAGTGAGGAAGAGCAGCAGGGATAGTTTTTGTGGACTTCCAGGCTTCGATCATTCATCCCATCTCTTCACCAGGTGGAACAACCTTCTGCAGGAGATCGCAGAGCGGCTGCATGCCAGTAAAGGCCTCCTTCAGCTGTGGCAGAGGTACAAGGACTGTTACCAGCAGTGCTCTTCAACGGTCCGTCAGCGGGAGGACCAGACCAATGAACTCATGAAGACTGCCACCGGCAAAGACATTGCTGATGATGAAGTTACTGCTTGGATTCAGGACTGCAATGTATGTTCAGTTAAGCTTTGCAGTTTTTCACAGCTCTGTGGGCTAAAAATCTTAAGAGGCTCCCCATTACTAAACTCTATACCTGGTATGTTGGAAACTTGCATACAAACACATTTCTTTTTACTAATGCATCTCAGGCACAGGAGAGACAGCTTTATATCTGCTACCCAAATGTCCTGAGTTTCTCATACTTTTCATGTGATCCCTCCATTACTTGTTGTGGTGTTTCAGAAGCTGGTATCTGAAGTCATTATATAATTTGATTCAGTCTTAAGTCCCTGCTTTTCGAAGGGATTCTTGCTTGGGAAAATACCTCTACCAAATCTGTTGAGTTCCTTATAATAGAAAGAAACACAAGATCCTTTGACTATATTCCCACCAATCAAGGCTGTTCACTTTTTCTGAATGAAAAGAGACTGTCTGTGTTCTGGGGATGACTTTATCTTTCCTTGTTGAAGGGAAGCCATTCACTCTGAAAGCTTGAGATTCTTCCTTTTTCATGACTGTATCTCAAGGCAGCAGGATAGTTTATGTCCTATCTATGGTTACATTTTGGTTCTTTTGAGTTTAACTTAAGTGTCAGTGACAAAAAAATTAGAATTTTTTCTTAGTGTAAGCAAAACGATTGCAAGGAGAAAAATGAACACATCAATGAGCTTTTTGAGCATTTACTGCCATAGTCATTTGGACTGGCAATTCAAATTGTTCAGTTCAAATAATTTCTTCATTTTCTGAGGTCCCATTCTTTAGCATTATGTGAGACCAATTACAAAAGTTGTTTTTTTCATCCCTTCTGGTAATTCATAGCAGGAAAAAACCAAAGGTCTAGTCAGACCTGAATTGACCCACAGTGAGGGCTGCCACTGCTTAGGACCAGCATGTCAACAGATTCAAAAAGTTTTTTTCAACAAGTATTGCCTCATCAGTAACTTGGACTTGCTCAAAGGTAGCTGAGCAGTCACTTCTTTCTGTTCCTCTGTGCACAGGTACTTTGACATATTTTTTTATTCTGTGCATCATTTCCTTTCCATACAGAGTGTGAGTGCACACTTTGGCATTGAAATACAGTAGTAAATACAAGTTTTTCATATAGTGGTGGAGTTCAGTCATTTCATTCTTCCTTTGAATCAGGAGAGGATGGCATCAGCAGAGTGCCAGGTTAACTATTTGTGTCTTTATTCAATGTGTTGCCACAGGATGTGCTCGCAGATTTGAAGACAGCACAGGAGTCACTGATTGTTCTTCAAGAACTGGGAGAGGAGCTAAAAAGCCAAGTGGAGGCTTCAGCAGCAGCCGCTATACAGTCTGATCAACTTTCTCTGAACCAGAATCTGTCAACCCTAGAACAGGCTCTCCGCAAGCAACAAGCTGTACTTCAGGTATGCAGAGAGTGTTTCCAGTCCTTGAATCTGATCATCCTGTGGTACCTGAAAACACATAGATTAGCTAAAACTGCCTCAGAAAAGAGGGTGATGTTACTTGTTTGTCAACATTTCCTAGACTTCCATGGAAGCCAAAGCTGAGAGTAGAAAATATGCTCAAGTTCAGCATAGAGACCTTGTAAGGTACAAAATCTGGGAAGAGGATAGCAAACCTCATGAAGGAAAGTGTCTATCTGGAATGCCAAGGGCACCTTGCTTTCTGCAGACATCAATAGTGCTAACAGCTGGACCCACAGCTACTGCTCCTCTGAAGACAACCTCTTTTGCCAGCTAGTTCTTTAGCAGTAAAACAAATGAAAGATTCTGAATAATTGTGTAGAATTGATTTTTACAGTTCCTATTAATGTCAGTGACTAGTCTGACACCTACCATTTGTGTCAAAGCCTGTTCAGTACATGTTGCTCGTTGCTTGTGTCAGCAGGGACTAAAGAGCAAAAAAGGAGTGGCAGAATGTGTTCCATAGGAAAAGTACATGGGTGAGAAAGCAACAAAGGTAGTGGCTTCTGTTTGGGTGACAAGAAATCCAGCATTGAATAGAATGTGCTTATAACATGACTGTGCTGTGAGAAGACAAAGCAAGAGTTTTTAATTTCAAATTGCAATAATAACAACTAGTGTTTCTCCCTGCTGACAATAAAGTAAGCAGAGGAGTTAGTTTCATGAAAGGAAATTAGAGAAGGTTATCTGTTTCAAGGTGAGGAAGTTGAAGTGTTGCCTTTTTGCTATGATCAAAAATCCTCTGTTCTAAACTAAAAAAACCCCAATAGTTCCACAGTCTGTGAGCAAAGCAGCAGTTACACTTGCTCCTAGCCTATACACCTGTTTGCAAATCCGTAAGGAGAATAACCAGGAGTGTAATGTCGATATGGATGATACATGGCTGAAGTTCTTAAACTGTGGGTCCTTTTCTGTTGAAGGCTGGAGTGCTGGACTATCAAACCTTTGCCAAGAATCTGCAAGTCCTCGAGGCCTGGATAACAGAAGCAGGAGAAATGTTGAAAGGACAGGATCCCAGTCACTCATCTGATCTCTCAGCAATACAGAATAGAATGGAGGAACTCAAGGTGACTAATAAATGCAGAAAGTGATTTTTTTTCTCTATTAGCTTGGTTATTTGTAGTACAAGATATGCACAAATCTCATACATGCATTCTCTATGTATTAAAGGACTGTCACTCATGCAAAGTGTTAAGACTGAGAACTTAGAAGTCTGATGGCAGTCAAGGGGTGATTGTCCATGTTACTTTGCCCCTGAGTAAAAGAAGAAAAGGACCGGCAAACTGTTTAGAATAAAAGTAATGTCAAATCAAAACAGGAATGGAAATTTTAGCAGTTTTTGGAGATATCCTTCATCTTGTTTTCTCTTGACTTTTTTTTTAATTTATGCAGTTCCTGTCTCAGTAGTATTTAGTTTAGAGATTAAGTCATCTGTTCATTTTAGATATCTTGATATACTGAAGAAACATTCATACTGTGTACCATGTGATCTCCATTTGAGCTCTTTGTTTTTGTGGGGCGCTTTTTTCCCCCTCTTCTTCTTTCAGAGGCCCTGACAGAAGTTGATGAACTTTGCCATCTAGGCTGTTTTTGTCATTTTAATCTTCCATCATTTTTCTATCAGGATTAGCTATTCACATAATTCCACTTTGGGCAGGCTAAAAACCAGGACATTTTCCTCACATAGTGAATTGGGTATTTCTGTACTGCAAAACAAAAAAGTAAAAATAAAAAGTTGAGTAAGTTCAATGGGAATTTGCCAGCCTAGCATTCAGGCTAAGAAACAAGGAAAAAGGCTCACTTTTTTTGACAGTATAGACATATGACTTCAAACACTAGCTTACTTTTGCAGCTCTGAGCAGTAAATCTCCAATTCAGCAAAACACTTCAGTGCAATCTGAGTTTACTTCTCTGTGCACGTTTAAACATGAGTGTAAGTCTTCTCTTGGTCTGGGACCAGAGGCTAAAAACTGGAAATGCAATTTTTCCCAGGCATAGGGATTGCTTGCCACTTGGTGGCAACCAAGGCCATTTCAAATTTAACTGAGTGCTAGTTCATAATTTTGCAGTCTATAATAGTGTAATCACGGAACTTCCTAGTTACCACGTTTATTGTTTGTTGCAGAGTCAGATGTTGAAGTTCAGCAGCATGGTCCCGGATTTGGACCGTCTTAATGAGCTGGGTTACAGGCTTCCTCTGAATGACAAAGAAATCAAAAGGATGCAGAACCTGAACAGACATTGGTCCCTGATTTCATCTCAGACTACAGAGAGATTCAGGTGGGGATAGTTAAAGACTGTTGCGTAGTTAGATTACAACAGCTAGAAAGTGTACCTTTTGCCGAATATAAAAACGTTTCAGGTATTTCATTAACCTTTTCTTTGGTGTACTTTGGTGTTCAGTGAGCTGAGATGTTGATTTTGCCACACATTAATAGAATTTGAAATGAGGAAGACCGCTACTTTTCTAAGTATTGACTAAATAAATAGAATGAGGCAGCTGAGTGGGAAAAGTGCTACCATCTGATTTGGAATTCTGCTGGAAAAGTTATTGCAAGACTCTTAACACTGTGTGTGAGAGGAGGAGACCTTACCTGAATCTATCTATCTTTCTTTCAGTAAGCTGCAGTCTTTCTTGCTGCAGCAGCAGACTTTCTTGGAGAAATGTGAGACTTGGATGGATTTATTAGTTCAAACTGAGCAGAAGCTGGCAGCAGAGATTTCAGGAAACTACCAGAGCCTTTTAGAGCAACAGAGGGCACATGAGGCAAGTCATCGTGTATTTATACATAACGGCAACATATACCATTTATACATAAATGGAATGCACATTCCTTTGTGGAGGAATATAATAGTATGCCTTGAATTTCATTACATTTGCTTGCACCATCTGAGGATATCTTAACTTAAAAACAGAAGCGTGCAAATACGTCACTAATACCCAGTTTGGGGGAGGACTTGAGTATCTGTCTGTATGTGTGTATAATGTATCAGTATGTCTATAAGTGCTTGTCCCCTACGTTTAGTCTACTTCAGATTGGTTTATACCAAGGAAATCAAAGTTTTTATTGATCTTCCTGTAGAACCTAACTATTCTTGTGCAATTTGGCCCTTTGTCTTCAGTCCTAACTGATGAAAATATCTGTTCTTTCAGTTTATTCTGGTTTTGTTTATTTGTGATTAAATCGCCAACATATACAGCATGTGAAGAACATGGTAAAGGAAGAGTTTTCTGTCAAATACTGAGTTATATAGGTCATCATGGGGCCTCCATTTGGTAACATTTCCTTAGAGAACAAACTGATTTGATCTTCACTGTGTGCTCGAGTCATTTATCTGATTGTAACAAATCAAAACTAGCCCAGCTTTTGTTACAGGGAAAAACTGATTCAGAGTTTTTACTCAAGGATGTCTTTGTGATTCTTCAGTGAAATCAAGTGATGCACATTTTTTCTCCACCCAGCTTGTTACTGCCAAGAATCCTGGTAAAGATCAAGGAAGACAAGACAATTTTCATACCAAAGCTCCCATGTGGCTACAGTAGTTTCAGTTCCCACAACTTTTTCAGCTGACCTACCCATAGACTCAGACCAGGTCATAGGGAGAGTCATGTCCTTCCCCTGCCTCTTGCCTTGTATCTCACAGCATAGTGTTTGGATGAGTGTCTTAGAGCAGAAAGTAATTCACAAGCATTTTTACTTGCTTTAGCATACATTTGGTTTAGGATTTATCTGCCTTTGCCTTCACAAACATCATCCATTTCTTTTCCTCTCGGTGCTCCCAGCATTAACTGCACAGTGTCTTTGTAAGTTGAGACATCTCGGGTCTTTCAGATTTGAATGTCCAGAAATTACTGTCGAAGTGGATAATTTGCTACTGTTGTTGTGTCCAGTCGTAGCTATGATTTTTTTGAAAGAGGTTAACGGCAATCTTCTTGCATTCAATTGTCATGAGAGCTCAGCTTAATTCTCTCCTGAAACCTTCATCTGAGCAGTTAGCTCAGATGAGTGTTATTCAGGCACTCTGTTGAAGCTTTTTTTATTACAGCTATAAAGTCATCTCTCAGAATTTAGAGAACTAATATCTGATTTTCTAAATACTGCAATTCATCCTACAAAAATGTTGTAAACAACTGTTGGGTTTTTTTACCTAAAGCTTTTTGGCATTTTATATAATCTAAATGTATTCAGTACTTAGTGTTCTTTGAAGTACCTCCTGATACTTATGAAGAGTTTTCTTTCCACTCCTCACAACTGAAAGGCTCAAATCTAAACTTCTTGAGATGAATTTCCGGATTGTTTTACTTTGTATTTTTGAAGATAATGAGAAAATACTCTGTTTCCCAGAATGGCTATTGAAATACTTCCAGCTCTGTCAGCTTTCCAGTGCTGACTCATGACTTTGGTGTTTATTCAAAGTGGACCCCAGGTACCTCCATGGTCTTACTTAGAAATAACTTCCCACTGAAATGTACAAACCAGCAACATGGAGGTGATACCTTTTTCAAACATCATGCACTAACACTGGCATCTGCATCAGATAAGTCTATCAGGACAATCTTGTAGTCATTCTTGTGCAATTCTCCAGATAACCATTGCCAAGCCTGGTACATTGCCTGGGACTCCTGTGCAGTGGGATTGCATCGAGACAAGCATTTAAGAAGGTGCTGGCAAGGAAAGGGGAAGTTCCTTGCCAACTCCATTACTGAATTTTTTTCCAGCATGCTGGTATTGTGCATTCCGACACTTGCCCTCCTTTCCTCCTATGAATTCCTATTTCTGTGATTCGTAGTGATCTACATATGAGAAGACATTGGGGTGGCAAGTGGTCCCACATAATGGAGTATCCCTCTTACATACAGAGACAGTGATGCAGAGAGCAAGTGGATGTTGACAGAAATGTCCCTGCTTTTGGGTAGGGCTTGAATACTTCCACTCTAAGCAGAGTTCCTCACGCTTGATAAGCTTTTGTTTCACCTGTCATCTTAAAAAAAATATTAAAATTCTTGCCTTTGGAAGGTTTGGTTTTGGTGGGGTTTTTTAACCAGTTGTGTTCGCTTTCATCTCGATCTGTCAACAATGCTAGTAGATGCTGTTGCCTCCTGTGCTTCATCCATGCACCCCAACTTGACAGAAATTGATGTGAGAGGAAGTAAAATTTCTGCCTTCTTGCTCAGCTTTCTAAAATTCTCAACCCTACAGTATTGTGGTTTTGTTCATGAGATAGAGTGATTAGTTTCCCTCTGGTTCAGGCTCAGTCATTCATAAATGCCAAGGTATTCAAAGAACACTATCAAATACTTCTGCAAGGAAGTTAAACAACACTATTTCTTTCTATGGGAAAATTTATGACCTGGGTAACATTTTCAAAATTAACTCAGTGATTCAGAGGGAAAATCTCATTTTGAAAAATGAATCCATCGTGTAGAAGTCCTAAGCTACATACAATGGGCTTGAGGGATTTAATTGTGCAGGTGCCAGTGGGTATATTGCTGGCAGTTGCAGAGGCATGGATTGGTACATCACCATTTCAGCTGGTGGGAAACCGTATAACAGGGGGTGTAATCTGGATTTGGGGAATCGTGGCTCTCAGCTCAGGCAAGGGTGAACTTCTATCAACTACAAACACCATCACTAACAAAAGGAAAAAAAAAATAAATCTCAAGCTTCATACCACTATACCTTCTCTTTTAATCTCTCTGAAAACCTTTTGAACATGGAGTGGGTCCAGTCCTGAGCTGATGCCTGGGTGTACCTTCATCAACATAAGAATATTCTTGAACAACCTTACGTAGAGACATGGTCCATTACTAAAAGAAAAGATGTTTTTAAAAATAAATTTAAGCAGTATATATTTAAGTCATCTTTGCTTAAGTAGTCCTTAGGTATTTTTTTTGTCTTAAGTAAAATTTAAGTAATAAGAGAGTTTTAAAAGTATTGTGGAAGTTTATTGTGACTGATGGGGAAAATTGGAAAATAAATTGGAAAAATTGGAAGAAGTGGGAAATTGATATCTAGCACCTACACATAGCTGATTATTTCTTTTAAAGTTCTATTGGCAGTGTAAAATTGTATTACTAGTTTGTATAACACTATCACACATGATCAGTGCATAAATTCAATTTAACAAGGCAAAGGACTATAATATTCTTAAACATGTCAGAAAATAAAAAGTGCCCTTTCTGTCCATGCAATAAATACCCTAACTGGATTTTCTGGTAAATTATAGTGCCAATCACATAATTGTACTCAGAGACATAAAAGCTAGCTCCTGTTGATATTATTTAGGTTTTCTGTAGTTTATTTTAGATCTCAAGGAACTAATAATAATTACTAGAAGCAGCAAGTAACTCTAGCAGTGACATTTTAAAATGCGTTTCTATTTAAGTTCATGACAAAACTCCCATTGAATTAATCTGAAATGAGATTAAATACGTGAAAATTCATTTTTACCAGTGCATACAGATAGAATTAAAATGTAAGATCTTGTTTTAACATTCTTGTCTCCTGTACAACAGCTATTCCAGGCAGAGATGTTCAGCCGCCAGCAGATTCTGCATTCAATTATCTCTGATGGGCAGCACCTCCTAGAACAAGGACAGGTGGATGACAGGTAGATGTTCCTGTGTTCTTGCTGCTGCTGGTTATGTGAAGTAACACTTAGACTAGTGCGGGACTTCCAAACAGAGAAGGTAGCAGATGTCAGTGTTCAGGTCATGCTCTTCTGAGGTAGAAGTTACTACCACTGTGGTTAAGCTTTTAATTAGCGATTTCTTAAATAAGACAGTGTTCTTTGGGATGCTATGGGGCATGTGAATGTGTGAATGCATTTGGGAGTACAGCAGCCTTGAGGCTGCTTCTCTGACAAAGATTTGTCTTGGGTTATCAAGAATGTTACACAGATATCTATTTTGATGTACTTTCAGAATGTCACTTGCACCAAAGGAGCCTGCAGTGACAGGTTTAGTGAGTTACACTTGATTTGTGCCAGCTGGGGATTTGCCTCTACCAAGAGGATTCCCATACTGCCATTGAAGAACACCTGCAGCCTAAATGTGGTGGAATAGGAATTAATTGCTCTCTGAGATTTTATTTTAAACACTTGTGATCAAAAGAATGAAAATCAGTGAAACACCAGTGGCTTCACACTTGTGTATATGCATTGTCTTTGCTAAGGGTATCGTGTTCCTAATATAAGATGAACTGTTTATTGAGATGTGCGAATTTTGTTAATGCTGTGTATGTCTTATGCCTGCTTTGAGCTCAGTAGTAAATCTGGGGGTGAATTGTGAAATCTCCATGATTTACTATGAATTTGGCTAATCCAAACTGGTAAAACCTGTGGGTATATTTCTGGGGAGAAGACAGAAGAGTTTTGTGTGTTAAAGTTTTGGGCTTTTTAAGGTCTAAATAATTGGAACCGTTTGATTCTCCCAGTACATGAAGCGTGATGTTCTCATCCTCAGTCAGCTATCATGAGACTTCGGTGCTTTTCTCCTCACATTTTGTAATTGACAGCCAGAAAACATCTTCCCTTTCCCTTCAGTTTATTTCATTAAACAAACAGATCAAAGTAAGAAGATTACTATGTATTTTTATTTATTTATCTATTTATAATAGGGATGAATTTAATCTGAAACTGACTCTTCTAAGTAATCAATGGCAAGGAGTAATTCGCCGGGCGCAGCAGAGGAGGGGGATCATTGACAGCCAGATTCACCAGTGGCAACGCTATAGAGAGATGGCAGAGAAGCTGCGCAAGTGGCTGGTGGAAATGTCCTGTCAGCCAGCGAGTGGGCTGGGCAACGTTCCCATCCCATTGCAGCAAGCCAGAGCACTACTGGATGAAGTGCAGGTATGTCCAGTGTGTTTGAAGAAAGAGGAACCGCTTTTTTTCCAACCTTCATAATTTAAAACGTTCTTAGAAATGTATTAGATTCAGACTATCTGTTTTGCAGAAAGCAATATTGGATGTTAGTTCTTCTTTGAAGCTGGCATAGCCTCAGAAGCAGCAGTGTGATGGAAATGAAGTGGGAGTTCGTAAAGAATATGCAATGAAAAACTTACTGAGCCCTCTCTCTCGAGCCTTGTTTGCTTCTGGTTTTGCTTTGTAGCTAATGTCACACTGAAACTGTCTTGAAAAAAACAATGATGTCCTGTTTGTGGAGGACAAAAAAGGATACCTTGAGCGTCCAGCTTCATGTGAGGTTAACAGTATCTATTTAGCAGCTTGGTGTCTTAAGCTTTTTGGCTGGAAGATACATATAATAATAAAGCTTATAACCATAATAAGTTCTAAAGGAACTATTTCTCTTCAGGAGCAATTGAGATACTGGTGTTTATGGGGAGAGGGAAGCCTTTCATGTCTCTATCTCCTTGGAGAAATTTTCTAAAGGTCTGCTGCAGTAAATAATTGTGAAAAGGTTAGAGTAAACCATTTGGGTAGTAGCTCACGGTTAAGCCAAGGTATGCAGTCAGTTAAAGCATGGTCTTGAGAATTAACCATACTGAATTGCTAATTGTAATTAAAAAGACAAAGCTGACAGAAAACTAATATTTTCAGCTTAAAGAAAAAGTTCTTCTAAGGCAGCAAGGGAGTTATATCCTCACTGTGGAAGCTGGGAAGCAACTGCTGCTCTCTGCTGACAGTGGAGCTGAGGCAGCCCTGCAGATTGAGCTTACTGAAATTCAGGAGCGCTGGAAGATAGCTAGCACCCAACTGGAGCAACGAAAGAAACAGCTTGCTTTACTACTAAAGGTAAGTGTGTGATTTTTTCTGTGCTTCTTCAGCAAGTTCGTGGTTTCTCGTGGTGAACCCTGTTAAAGAAAAGCGTTTTCAAGGGGTAAGCACAAACACAGGAATTGCATATACGCTACATAAGCTCATGATTTTATTTCACCACCTCTGAAACTGGGAGAGGTTATTCTTCACAGTAGGGTTGTATGTTAGTTGATATCTTTTAATTGATACTTTCAGAACACTGCCAATAAAGGATATTCCTACAAGTCCTATTTTCAACATAAACTTTATTTTGATATAAGCAATGTCCAGAATGCCTGCCAACCTCACTTTAAGTACTGAAGATGATAGGCTGGAATTTAAATTTGGTCTATTTGTTTCTCCCCTTTTACTCATTCTAGGAAGGATAATGAAAATTGAACTCGTGTGTATTAATAGAAGAGGGCAAGTGTTTTTAGAATAGTTTCAGAGGTCTAATAGAATTACAGAATTACAAACACTTTTGTTTGTAAATGGCAAGAAGCAAAGCAGTGCAAGAAAATTAAATACTATTTTGGAAAAGTTCAGATAAGTAAATTTTTCTTCCTCTTTCAAGCCTTATTCCTCGTACCTTGGCTTCTAGTGGGGGAATTATGTCAGGAAATTTTAGTCATGAAAGCTGTTATCTAGGGAGACTGAAGGTTCTGTGGTATTTTGTCTCCATGAAAATATGGAACTTAATGCTTGAAGGTGAGGAAGTAGGGAACTTATCACACAAATTGCATAAATCGTCTCATAGATATCAAGCCTTCATTACATTATGCTATCTTGGTCTTAAATACATGACTTTTTAGTGGTCTTCTGACCAAATGGGAAGCACAGGTGTATACTCTAGAAGAGTATGTGTTGCATTAAGAACATCACATACTATTGTCATCTAAGGTCATATTACATACTAAGGAGAGAAGAAAGAAGACACTAGAGAGAGAGGGGGTTTTTGCAAGACCCGTTGTTTGTAATTCTCCATCCTGAAGATGATAATGAAATACTGGCATAGATTGGAAAAAAAAGGAAGGAGAGAAATACAAAGGCAGTGGTAGAAGGAGAATATCTTGAAACAGAAGACTGAGAAGCATGTTCTGTATTTTCTGGTATCACACAACTGGCATTCTTTATGGGTTGACTGGCTTATTAGAGATCTTTCTGTCTGTGAGTACCTTTTTAACAAGGAGGTGAGGCAGATAAAACCATACTGTTACATGACGATTGGTAAGGTTTGATTGCATTGGACACACTCCAAATTTTGGAAAGTATACACACGCTAAAGCTGGGTGTAGCTGCTGGAATCATAATTTAGAGGAGATACTGCAGGTACTTCAATCTGACCTGAATGTGCAGCATCCCCAACCACTTTTTTATTCTGGAGATTAATGCACCTGAATGAAGCTTTTGTCAAAGAACAGTGGTGTGCTTAATACAGGCATTTAAGAAAGGAAATGGAAAATAATTTTGTCAGGGAGAGGCTTTTCTGAAAGGATGGAGTTGGATCTAGACAATGTTGTAATAACAGGAGATTTTTGCTCGTGTGTTTCTACTATATTTCTATATATTTCTCTCTACAAAAAATTTGACACAGTTGTACACATGATTCAAGCTCTGAGACTATGAGCGTTGTTTAGAGGGGGATTTCAGGGCATGTTATTGTTATGAAAAAGTTTTCACTGTTCAGTGGTTAGGCAAATCAACTGAGATAAGTATAATCCAAATCTGGATTGAAGTCTAATAAATATTCTGCCTCCAGGACTGGGAAAAATCTGAAAACGGCATAGAGGACTCCCTGGAGAAGCTGAGATCATTCAAAAAAAAGCTTTCTCAGCCATTGCCAGAACACCATGATGAGCTGCATGCAGAGCAGATTCGTTGCAAGGTAAAGCACTTGTTCTCTGTTGACTGTCGTCTAATCTTTGCCTGCCTTTGTGCAGTAACCTCTTCCATTGTTAATAGGCTTCACGTTACTGACTGTGCAAACCAGTCAGCCATCCCTGTGACAAGAAACTATCCAGGTAACATTTGGACAGTGTAGTACCTGATTAATCTCACTGAAATGCAAATCCTGCAGGGTAAATACAGATCTGATCAAAGTGAGATCACAACACGGTCTGAAAAGAACTGTAGAAGCACTAAATACTGATGTGTTTTTATTATAGAAATTCTAACTTCAAATTTAAACTCATAGTATCTAAACTGCTCTTTTAGTGCTTTTTATTTAAGGTGAGATTACTGTGAGGGATCTTAGATAACACTTTTATGCTATATTCTTTGCAGTTTAGACATGGATTACAACTTGAAAATATTTTCAATACAGTGAAGTCTAAACCAATACTTGGAGTTCTCAAATACCTTTGAACTTTAGAGAGATTTGAGTAGTGACTCAAGCAGTTTGTGACTGCTTGTTACAAGGCTGACATACCATTCTCTGTTGGGGAGTTACCTTTATCATAACTCTGAAAATACTGGTACATATGGAGTTGGTGTTTTCTTTTTCTTTCAAATGAGGCTGAAACAGTTCACTTGAAATAATAGGTCTGCTCAGATGTGGCTTTAATTTAGTGGGATAACAGTGCTTGTCTTTGTGCTTCATCAACAAATTCAAATTTTTATTTGTTAGCAAACTGGTCCTTTTTCCTTGTGCGCTTCTTTTCAGGAGTTAGAGAATGCTGTTGAAGGATGGACAGATGACCTCGCACACCTCTCGCTGCTGAAGGAGACCCTGTCTATATATATCAGTGCAGATGATATCTCAATCCTCAGTGAGCGCGTAGAGCTGTTGCACAGACAGTGGGAGGAGCTGTGCCACCAGGCGAGTATCATACTGAGAACTGATCGGAGTATGCAGGCTGCAAAAGTGTTGGGTGCAAGTGGCACCTTCTAGAAAGGATGCATGTGGGCACATGCAGATTCAAAACTGAACTCTTGCTGAATCAGAGAAAACATCTGTTGAAATGCTTCCTTTGGTTACTGCTAGCATTTCTACATGTCTTGAACTTTGTCATGGCCGTGAGGTCCTATTTAAGCAACCTTGAAAAACCAACAAAAAAGTCACATTGTGTGCTGTAGAACTGTGGCAGGGCTGGCTGGGGAAAAGACAGAAGTAATACAGTTTACTGTGCTTTGGTGGAAGAGCTGTGCTCAGAAAGGATGTCCCCTCTCCGCTGAACGTGACTGTATTGTACCTTCAGTTCTGCTGATAGCTTCTGCTTCTTCAGACATGGGTGTCTGCATTTCTCTTAGTCTGAGGGTGACTTGCTTGGCTGCAGAATGAACTGAGGAGTGCTGTTTGATTTTTCACGTGCATCACGCTATTAATGTGTTTATTGCCTCCATTTTGCATTTAGAAACCCAGGTAGTGGAGTCTCCCTCACCCAGCTTTTCAGGTTATCCTAATGTTATTTCTGTGCTTCAGTAGAGATTGCAATCCAGATACACCGGGGCTAACTTTGAAATAGTTATCTCATGCAAGGTACCTGTTAAGGCTTCAAAAACACCCCCAAAGTAGGAAAAATGCTTCACAGTTAACAGCGCAGAACTTGTTATGAGTTAGTTGCTTTTGAATGAGCCAATGTATCTAAACTACAGTGTAGTCACTGCATGTATGTTTATGGTAAAGGAGGGAGCCCAGTAAAGACGTTTTATCTTAGTTTTGTGCGTACTGAGTGTTTCAGGATGTAACCTAGTGCAACACTTTGTTCAACCGTTGCTTATTTCTGGAAAGCTGCCATCAAGTTTAGAATCGCAGAAAGGAAATGCGAGATCATGTGTCTGCCCTTGTTAAACCTAACAGAGTAGTTAAAGAACACGTCACTTTTGTTTATGAAAGAGCAGATGCAGTCTCCATCTTCCCAGCTGAAATGCTGATACAAAGTCAAACAACACAGAATACAATGGGGAGGAAGTAAGTAGTTGTACAGGTGTCTGAAACTGGAGAGATGACTTTGCTGCTCACCCTCTGCTGCTATTTTGATTTCAATGTCTATCTTTGTCTATTGCAATTCATAATCTGAGATGGTATCACTGCTATAGCAATTTCTTAAATATAGCAACGTTTTCCTTCCTCCTGTATTAACTACAGCATTCCCCTGTTTGATGTTTTATGCCTATTCTTTCCTGTGAGGGCACTCCTTGGTGCTTTGGACTCTCTCAAGGTGTTGTACCTGTTCAGGAGAAATAGTCATCTATGAAATTAGTGTATTTGGACTCAAGTAGAAAATTGCTAATGCAAAATATAGTGCATCTTTGATTTAGCTTTGTACTTAAAAATCATGCTCATGGACAAATCACAGAGTCTTTTGGAGTTTGGCCTATGCTATGTATATTTTTTTGCTTTGGTCAAGCATTTATATCTTCCCTTTGTATTTAATCTCTTAGACTAAAAGAAACTATTACTATATAACATCTTATAAGTGAGCAAAAATTGTAAGAAAATTTATTTTTTATCTTCTAATGAAACCTTTGGGTTAGAGACATTATAAAACAAAATATTGACAGGCTACTGAGCGTAACACTTGGATGCCTCTCTCTATGCATAGCGGGTAGCTAATGGGAAACCTGAGATTAACACTTACTGCTAAACTCACAGAGTGTCACACAATTTTTGCAGTACAACTCCAGTTTGTTTTAATGGCAAGTAAGTGGCTGGAACACTTTTGCAGGGCCAGAGGAGTGCACATTGATGTGCAAACTGTTTCAAGCATCTCTTAAATCCATTTACTATTTTGTTTTTATTTACTCTTCACAAATGTTTTAAGGTCTCCTTACGTCGACAACAAGTCAGTGAAAGACTGAATGAGTGGGCTGTCTTCAGTGAGAAGAACAAGGAGCTCTGTGAGTGGCTGACACAAATGGAAAGTAAGGTTTCTCAAAATGGCGACATCCTCATAGAAGAAATGATTGAGAAACTTAAAAAGGTATCGTGCAGTGCATGTACACTTACGTACTGTTCTTTAACTGCTTACTTGTTTTGTGTTGCAAAGAGGATACTAAATTAGCTGGAATGGAGGTTTTACCTTACACTGATGTCTCTAAGTTCCAGTAAGACTGAGTGTTTGTGTTCTGCCCTCACTACGTAGCATTTTCCTGTCTTTCTTGAGGTAGGACCTCCCAGGATACCAGGAAATGAAGTGAATGCAAAGTCAAAGGCATCTGAATGTTTTACTAAATGTCCAATCAGAATTGCCTGTAATGAGTTTAACCGTAGCAGATATATTTATAGACAGAATTGCGTTCTGGTTTGGGTTTTTTTTTTCATTCTTCTGATGAAGTTGTTTGTGGTTATACATCTAATATTTAAGAGGTTGTCTCTCTGCTGTACCAAACACCAAAAAAAACCAACATTCATTTGCATTTTTTAAGGTTCCTTTAGTAGCGTAGAGCAGAGTGTATTCAGAATGACAACCCTGACTTCTGATTGCTCTTTATTGTCCAGGATTATCAAGAGGAAATTGCTGTAGCCCAAAAGAACAAAATCCAGCTCCAGCAAATGGGAGAGCGACTTGCTAAAGCTAGCCATGAGAGTAAAGCATCAGAGATCGAGTACAAACTTGGCAAGATCAATGACAGGTGGCAACATCTTCTAGATCTCATTGCAGCCAGGTAAAACAGTCGTGTTGTTTCTAAGTGCTACATGGGACAGATTTATATGCTGGATGTCATGAATTTAAAGTCTTTTTATTGTCTGCCTTTTCATCATTAATTGAGAAATGAGTTTATTCTTAACCATCAACACATTTCTGTGAAATTCACTTACTTGTTTTACTTTACAGTACCTGACATAATTTCTTCAAGAAGCATCAACTCAAAACATTATCTGCTAGAACAACATAGTATCAGTTGCAGTCAGATTTAGTGAGCCTTGCTCCAGTACCATCTTACTTCAAATGAGTGCTTAAAACTGGGTACAAAGGTAGTTTTTCTAAAAAAATTCTTGGCAGAGGAATCAAAACAGTGCTTTTGTAGTTTTGGATTTCGAGAAGAGCTGTTCCCAAATTAAGTCTTAGTTTTTCTGCGTGATTAAGTTTTCACTAATGGAGAAGAGTAACTGCAGGTAGACATATGTACATTGGGCTTGAAGATTCTATTTACTCAAGGTCAAAAATATAACAGCAATTTTCATAACTTAAAGAAATACAGGATTGTAGTTTGATATGTGAAGAAACTGGTTTATTTGTTTCAGTACTTTCTGTTGAGTTGTGCTACAACCTCCTTCCTATTAACAACAATAATTTTGTCACAATTTTGTACTTCATAAAATGCATACTTTACATTTTACACTTCTGTGATGTAAAGACATATGAATTAGTAAAACTTCAGTCCTGTCAGCAGCAAAAGGGTTTGTTTACTTTTTTTGTCTTTTTTTGTCCATTCTTCTTTCATATGGTTTTACTGCATTCCTGATCTAAAATCTGTAAGCATGGGAGCAGTAAATTTTATGTAAGCAGAAGCATTCCGCTGGCTCCAGCTCCTTTTATAGTGGTTCATTTTAAAGTAATGAACACTGTATATTTCTTACAGAACAATTAAGTCAGGAAGTAGTGCATTACGGTCAAGGAGCCTGCTAGTTCGGAGGATGTGATACATCACCAGTTGTTGAACATACAGTATATTTGCTGTATTTTTGTGTTTATCTTTTGAAATGCCTACTCAGACAAATGTTCAAATAATACCTTCAGGAAGTTTCTAGTGAAAAGTGATTGCATTCAGAAACTGCAAAATACATCTTTAAAATATCTGTATTGTCTATTCAGTATTAGAGGTTAGTGTCCTCTATAGGGATGGGTAAGGGTTCAGGGTTCTGTATCATTCTTGGGATGGGGAGATATAAACTGCAGTATTATACAGTTAAACTTTCTCATTCTGTTGTCACAAAGCAGGGTGTCAAGTCCTAGTTCTAAACTAATTTCTGTAAAATATTTATTTTCAGATCATTTCAACTTAGCCTTCTCAACTAGCAAGCTCAGTGCTATTGTATGCAGTTAAACATATAACCCTTTCCATTCCAGTGCTTACTGAAGTGAAAAAAAACTCTGCAAAGTTTGAACATTGCATTGCTGAAGTTGGGAAATGAATGGTGGAGAGGTTTGATGCTAGGTTGTGGAAGTGTTGCTAGTTCAGCCCTAGCTTAGGCTGATAGCAGTTAAAGCCCAAGTTGTTGATTAATGTATGTACAAAGTACTTGTATTGATGTCTAATTCTGACTGGACAAAAGGGTTTGCATCCCCCAAGATGATTTTCAGAAGACTCCAGAGGCTCTTTAGAATATGTTGTTATATATTAGGGTGTGTTCCTGTTAATGATATTTTGGAGTTTGCAGTGTATCATATAACATGATTTAGGCTGCACTTAGCTAGTAAATGCAGATTAATCCATCCTTTGCCTGGAGCATTTTTCTTAGTGGTCTGTTTGCTACAGCTGTGAAAAAATATAAAATGTTCTGTGAAAATACTTTAGTAATACAGTGTGGTAATATGCATCCAGTCTGAATCTTTACCTGTTGATTTTATGCCGTGCAGTGGAACTTCTCCATTCACCTGTAAAAGCCTCTTTCTTTCTCACATTCTGTTTCCTTACCCACTTTTTTTAATTTCATCTCCATTTTGAGGAGGTCTGTAACTGCAGGAGAGACAGCTACAGAAAGGTAGCTGTGTCTCTGCATCAGACACTTCTGTTTCTGTCCTTCTAGAACATTTTCATCGTTGAGATAAATTTTTCTGGTATGTCAGCCCAGTGCAAAAAAGGTTACAGATGTTTACAGCCAGGAAGCAGGGCAATTGCTGCAACTGCTCAGGCTTTGCAAAGAAGGCTTTGTTGAATGTGTTTTCATCCCTTCCCCTAGTGCTCGTGGTCCACATTCCTGGAGATCAAGTCTGGCACATGTTGATGAATGCAAGTTTTATTTAGAAACATGACCACTTGTCACCATTCAGTCTCATGTTATCAAGCAACGGCTGCTAACATTTGTTTGGCGTGCAACATTTTCTGTACAGTGCTCACCAGCAGAGAGAAGTGTGTCCCCTTTCCTCCCCCCGCCAAAGCACAGGGTTTGCAGGCTTTTGGAGTGGAAGTTCTTCTTTTTAATGCTGGAAAATTTCATGGTGGTGGCGGAGGACCTGCATGCTGTGAGGATGGCGGAGGACGGCAGTGTGGATTCAGATCTCCCAGACTGTAATTGTGATATCACAAGGCAGGCAGCTATTTTTGTTTGCGTTTGATTGATACGGTTCTTTCTGAACTCTTGGCTTACTGGGAAACTAATTGAAATATTGACATGTAGAAATCACTACCTTAGCTAGAAATTACTGTTTTCTACTCAGTTTAAAAATAGTTCATAGTGATAACAGCATACTTTGTTTTACAGCTAGTACTTTTGGATCCCAGAATCATTTTTTAGTTACTGATGCAGACTTAGAACTAGCAAATTCTCTTAGCTGTCTGAAAAGACCTGTAGACTGGTTTTACTGGTGTTTTTAAATGCAAGAGCATGTACAAACATGAAACAAAGCGAACTTTGTATTTATCTGCTCACTGTTCGTGTCATCAGAGGGGCATGGCTACAGGCAAAAGGCAGAGAAGGAGGGAGGCTGTAAAGAAAGTATTTCAGACTTAACTTACCAAAGCTGGTCTGTCCTGTGCATATTAATGACTGTTTTGTAACTGCGTGTAATACTTGAACTCAGCCTACATCATCTTGGATTTTTGATTCAGCTTCTCTTTTTCCCTCTTCACACTGTCTTTTCTAGAAGTTTTGCTGTTGTTGTTCAGAGTTCTAGAAATTTACTCTTTGAAAGGGGAAACTGAAGAGCAAATACAGCAGGCGGTACTAGTGTCCTGGTATGCAGGAGTACTGTACTTTGGACAATAAATCTTTTATAATCATAAAAAGATTATTTTTTAACTGATTTTTTTAAAAACTAATTTTAATAATGTAATATTTTTCACTATTTCATAGAGTGTTTCTTGAAACTTTATCTCTAGTTCCAAGTAGGTTTTTTTAAAAAAACTTTTCTGCTTTCTACCAGACTTTCTTTTTGTACAGACTTAGCTAACTTGCTCCTACTGACTTTTTTCATGTTGCTTTTAAAGTTTAATATTAGTAACCAGCTGTCTAAATGAGTAATGCAGTAGCTATGAGTTCTATATGATGCATTGTTATGTATTTACAGGGTTGTTCCTGTTTAGGTTTAAGTGGAGTCTAAGGCTGTCTAATTTAGTACTAGTTGAATTAAAGGTATTTGTGCTTAATTTCAGCTCCAAGTTGTTCTTCCACTGCCTTTTCTTAATATAAAATAGACATTTTAAAGTTCTTACTTTCTTGGGGAAAATGAGGTAAAGTAGTTGGAACACAGAAACGTAAGCATGATAAGCCCATTCAAATTTTCAGATGAATTTTCGTCAGTAAACCATAAAAATGAACAATTGAATTCTGCAGTATTTTCCTTTCTGAGAGTCTCGAGTAGTTGTAAAATGTAGCAAGACTGATTTGTGTGTGTGTTATATAAAAAACAACCTATAAAACAACCGTGTCATAGGTCCAGCTCTTTGATTTCAATGTGGAATCTTCATTATCAAGGACAGGAGTTATCTCAAGTCTCTTGCAGTAACATGCATAGTGCTGCAACAAGTGCATGAGATGATTATTGGAACAATTAACTGCTTAAACATAATCTTGTAAATGAAATATCAAAAGGTCAAAATTACAGTTGGCTAGGGATCCCACATACTTGAATGGTTTATAATTTGACCTTTGTCTCTAAGCAGAGCTTTTAGTTTCATTAGCTTTCACGCCCCACCATTAGCATGTAAAGATAGGATTTTGAGCTGCTACATTTTTAAGAAAGAGAGATTTTTGTTGCACACACATCATGTAGTTATTTGTATGCAGGCACAGAAGAGCATAGGCATCTTGCCTGTTGAAATTCAGAAGAAATACTCTTAGACACAGTGGATCACATCTATTATTTGTCCACAGATATGTTTTCAGAGTAGCGAGAGGCGTAACACTGTATTGCAGTTCAGTCAAAAAAAGTAAGCCCAGCATACTCCAAGAAGCATTTTTTTTATTTGCTTCTATTTGTACCATGGGCAAGGAACCTGTTATGTTAGACTCAGTACAAAAAAAGAACAGTGTTAACAGTAAACATAGGAAGGGAGTTGTCCTTTTCTATTTTTTTGGACCTTAGGTGCAGGGAATTGCAACAATTTGGTGAAAGGGGAGGTTTAGCAGCAGCTTCTGATTTTGGTTGGAGTGTTCTTTTAGTATGTTGCACTTTTTTTCTTCTTCTCTATTGAGTAACTTAGGTCATGTGGGTGAAAACAGCTCTGTTTGGGCTGGGGTGGTTTTTGCTCTGGCAGGGATGTATTCGCATGCAGTCTGCCTGAGGCAAAGAGGGCACATTTTAAATTATGGGCCCTTTATCAAGTGTTGCAGGCAAAAGGTAAATAAAATCTGGGATGCAGGTTAGGGTACTATACAACTGCAAATAAGAAAAGCCTCGTCCACAGCCTGGGCGTGCAAATGATAGAGTGACATTGCTTCTACGTGGAGCTAACATGACTCATTGTTCCCTTCCCCACTCCAGTGTGCCTGCAAAGGATCAGCAGCATCCAGCTTTGAAAATCTGAGCAGAAAATGGGCAGGATTTCACTCCTCTTCAGTAATGTTAGAGACTGAAAAGCTGTCTGTGAGTTCCAGAAAAGTGATAACCAACCTTCTTGCTCACCTTATGAGCAAGTTTCAGTTGGTCCAAACTCACAGAGCACCGTATGTACAACCATAGGCGACAAGGAGATGGTGCCCCCAGACATTGTGTGTTATCCTAGTAGCTCTCCAAGGCTAAAGATAAAGCTGTGTTTTGGGATGACCTGATGATGGGGACTGGGGCAGTCTTTCAGCATGCTTGTGTTGACTTCAGTCCCTTCATAGCCAGATTTTCAGATTATGTAGATTTATTTTTTTTTTCCAGTTACCAGGATTATTTTTTTTCAGATCATAACCATGCAGCTGTTGGTCATGAGACTCTGGCAAGGAAGATGCATTCAAACTGTTCTTAAGTGTGTTTTGTGCTAAAGAGCCACAGTTGGACCATCTGTGATCTAAAGCAAGGGCTAGAAAGAGAGAAAAAATTGGAAGATTTTACTTTTAAGATTTTAAGTTGATGTTAGGGTCTCTGCATTTCCCTTTGGTAATAAAAGGACACTCATATTAGCCTCTTAATGGTCAGCTGCAACTACTCTTTTAAATATGGAAACACTTGATAAATTTGCTGGTTAGTATTATGGAAAAAATGTGAATTGCGCTATTTGAATTATAGAATAGTCAGGTGGCATTTTGTTTGTTTGACGAATCAATCTGGCAATCTTATCTTTTTCAACTCGATTTAATCAGTCTGTTCTCAGCTCCACTCATGTCTTAAAGCTTTCCGATACTGAAACACTTAAGTGGAAGAGCAATAGAAGCATAAAAGGGAATGTTACTCAAAACTGTTTGTGGTACTACGTAAACAGGAAAAACAAAAAGAAAGCTTAGAAACAATTTTGGAATCCACTAATGTATGTTGTGTAACATGGGGATAGGAAGGAGGGAATTACTGACAGACGTTTTTGCAGTTAAAATGGGCTGAAGGAAAAAATATCAAGATAGGATGAAGGTTTAATCAAATTTTTCTCACCCTCTAAGCTTAATGTTCCCTTGATAAAAAAAAACAAACAAACAACAAAAAAAAACCAACAAACAAAACACACACACACACAAAAAAACACACACAAAAAAAACACCCCACTATTTAATTTTTCCTGGCTATTGCTGTTGCAAGGTCAGGATGTCAAGAAAAATACTTCTTAAATTGCCATGCAGTTACATTCCCATTTCATCTGTTTAAATCTATAGTAGTCCATTAAGACCAAGAACAAGTTAAAGTAGCCCTTGGGCTTCAGGAATTCTCACCAAGTTCTCAGCTGGATTTCTCTCTCTAAAACTTACTTATTCAAGGACAGGTCTTCACACTGGCACAGGTTGCCCAGAGAGGTGGTCGATGCCCCATCCCTGGAAATGTTCACAGTCAGCTTGGACGGGGCTCTGAGCAACCTGATCGAGTTGAAGATGTCCCTGCTCATTGCAGGGGGCTTGGACTAAATGACCTTTAAAGGTCCCTTCCAACCCAAACCGTTCCATGATATGTAGTTCAATGTTTGAAAATGACCTATGTGAAAAAGGCCTGTTCACTCAGTGCACTCCACCACCAGTACTGGTTAAATGGGTAAGTTATTTGTAGTCTAAGAACTTTTGTCATCTATTGGTCAAATACAAAATTAAACTGCTCAGATTGTTTTGGGGTTTTGGTATGTCGGAGTTCATTAAAAAAAAAAAGTTTTCCTTTCTTAACAAACATTTAATTCAACTGATAAAGGTACAGAAGCTTTGAAAATGTTGTTTGGTGTTAGTAAGCTCTGAATTTTTCTTAACCGGAACCTATGAATGCCAGACTGTTTGCACATATAATATACTTCTGTTACATAATAAAGCAAGATTTCAGAACAGAAGTTGCCATCTAAGTTAAGTTTCTCTGAAAATTTCCTGAAACACATGCTGTGGATATTGTCCTTCAGGGTGTATTTATGCTGCCATTTCTTTTTCTTTACAGGGTAAAGAAACTGAAGGAGACCCTCGTTGCGGTGCAGCAACTGGATAAAAACATGAGTAGCCTGAGGTCGTGGCTTGCCCACATTGAGTCAGAGCTGTCCAAACCTATTGTCTATGAAACTTGTGACTCTGAGGAGATACAAAGGAAGCTAAATGAACAGCAGGTAAAACACAACACACTTATCAGGTGCACGATGACATGGGGAGAACCAAAGTAGAGTGCCCTTGGGCTGCCCATACCTGGCTCAATGCTGAGAGGGCATGAGGTAAAGTAGTGTTTAAATATCAAGGCAAGTGGTACTTACTGTGTCACTTATAGAGCCTTCTGCTGGCTTTGACATCAAATGCACCAGGAGCTGAGTGACCTTTCCAAGAAAGGTAAGGCACCAAGAGATGTAACCTGAACAGGTTATTGCAACTGTTTTTCCTTTGGGGTTTGTGTTTTTGTTTGCTTGAATTGTCTGTTCCCAGAGGCAAAACTGACACTTATTAGACCTTGCAAATTTTGCACATGCTTGAAAATGACTATTTTTTAGCAACCATTCTAACTCAGTTTTATTTTGCAGCTTGTTTGAGAATCACTTTGCACGCAAAGATGCATGAGCTATACGTGTGAAGTTAAAATTGGTTGATTTATAGCACACAAAGCCTTTAAGCAGTGCTAGAACTAAATAGTCAACACTGGAACAGGCAGAAAAATGTTATGTCAACCAGTTTTTGGCATTAAAACTGATGTTATTCCTAAGAAGATTTACTATACTTTCTCTTTCCTGTTCCACTTTACTGCCCAGCGCAGTTTTACCTAGAAGCACATTGCTGGGGAGGACTGTTGTTCTGTTGTGTTCCTGTTGGTTATTTATTGGCAAAAATACCTTTCTGGTGCCTCAGTGGAGATGAGTTAGATGCTCTCCTGAGTTCCTTCTCCAGAGGAGAAAAAAGTGTGTGGGAAGAGGAGTGCCAAAATGTTTTGGGGATAATTAATTTGTGAAGTGTACGAACTGGCATTTTGCTCTTTTAAGCTGTGTGTGGGACTGAGACCCAAGAACTCCCTCAGAGTTTTTGCCGACTCCCCAGCTGATTTGCTACATGGCTGTGCAGAATTGCTTATTAATATTCTCTATGTAATTTACATAGGGATAATAATTTATAACACATAAGCATCACTAATGAGTGGTATTTCTGAGACAATAAAGTTCTGGGCAGGGCTAAACATTGCTATCAACAAAGTAGATACTTGAGATTTTTTACTAGCATCCCTATGCAGGTATCCCACAGTTTGTTACAACCACTTCTGATGGGACTTACTCTGGGCATGGAGACTGGTGTATCTCTGCCTTCCGCTTGTTTCCTTGTGGTGATCCCCACACAGTGACAGCATGCAGTGATATTCTGTAGAATTATGGTTTAATTTGAACTCCAAGGGGGAGAAATAGAGGTGAATCTTATCCTGGAAGATTCCATGTTTGGAAACTTGATCATGATTTGATTTTATTTGATAACCTGCAAGCCACGGTTATAATAGTAATTAAAAAACCCCACTCACCTTCAGTGTATGGCAACCAGTATTTTTTATTAGTTGGAGGCTGTATCACTATCCACCGCATCTCAGAAGGGCAGTACATTGGACACCTCAAGTATTTCATCCCTTTTTCTTCTTCCATTAGTGATCTTATGTTCTTTTCCATGTTTGATCTTCCACTAAGATCATGTTATCTTCCCTGCTCATACTGTTACCAGTTCTTCATATACAAAATTACGTTAAAAATATTATGCTGTGAAAGAGGAGGGCCAAATTCCATTTCTATACCTCCGTTATCTACTTCTCAGCATCTACTTCAGCCAAGAACCAGTTTTGCAGATTGCTGGTGTCTGTAGTGAAATTAAAGATACAACTGAAGCTGAATATCCTGGGGAAGGTAGGGTAACTTCACTGCAGTATTTTCCTAGGGTCACAAACTGCATTCAAGGATTACTGGTTTGTTTACTTCCTCAACCTGCTACCACTTGAAATGTGGAAAAAATGGTGTTTGCTTCTGGATTGATAAAGGAAAAAAAGCTTTATGTGGGTGACAGCAGTGCGTAAAAGTGATGCTCCTTTTTCAACAAACCCAAAGGCTAAATGTTCTCTAATAAACATAGGAAATTTTAAAATCTGGGAAAGAAATATAAGGATATGGAGAAAAAAGTGTAGACATTGCTTGTAGAAAGGTTCTGTAGGTGAATAAAAAAGTTTAATCCTTAGGAATCCTCAGGACCACCAACTGGCAGTTCTCACTACTGCTCTACTTCAAAACAGCAGAGAGGAGATTGTGTTACCTGAACTTGTTTAACCTCAAGTCTCATAGCTGTCTGGAGTATGTGTTTCGTAGAGTATTGCATCTGTTTATAGTATCCACCCTTACATAACGTTTCAGGATGGGTAGAAAGAAGAATAAGCACTTGGACATCATAATGAAGGAGCATTTTGCAGGCAAGGGAAAGTGAAAGGGCCAGCAATGAGGAAGAAAACGTTGTGATTTTCCAATTGATGGTCTCATGCAGATGCTCACAAAGTAGCCTTCTGTTTCATAGATGAGAAGAGGAAATAGATTACTTCAGTGAGTCCAACCCCAGTTTTCACAACCAACCAAATCAGATGGTTGATACAAGTTGACCTTGCTCCATTTCAAATTTACTGAGGTTTTTAGATTCTACATTTAGATCTCATTTCCTGCTGGAAGGCGTTTTCAGGACATCATATTGCTAGTTGTAAGAAAAGTTCCTCCAGTTAGACCTTGAATGTATGTTGACACTATATTTCCCTTTGCATATCATGGTTTACTTCACTAGCAAAATTATAAAGAGCAGCATATGTCTACTCATCCTCAAGCTGCCAGGTTCTTGTTCTCCTAAATAAACTTCCACATCTCTAATTGTCCTAATAGTTCTTTTCTTCATCTGAATCAGAAGTGAACATAGTATTCTAGATGCAATATATTACTTTTTCGTGTAGTCACATTAGTACTACTTTTTCACTATCGGAATTATGTTGTCTTGGCTTTGTTACTATCCATCCTGAGTTTTCCATCTAATATTCTGATGATTTATTGCAAATGTAGGCAGAAGTCAAGCAGGGTTTCTTTTCTTGCACTGCTCTGACAGCAATAACCAGTTACTTTTGTGCTTGTCTTAACTTGAACCTGTAGTTCAAAACTGAAGCTGAAACATTGCTTCAAGATGAAACATTATGATCAGTGCACAACAAGCCATTACAACCAAGAAACCGACAGGAGAAATAATACTGATCACGTACAATAAGTGCTAAGACAGTATAAGTGCATTTTCTTTACCTGTCCTGAATTTTCCTTTTCCATTTCTAATGAAAATGGTATAGAACTGGAAAGTTGAAGGAAGGAGAATCTCCTACTAGAGATGCACTGTTCAACATGTGCTGCTGCCAGTCTCCATGTCAAACATGCCGTTTTGCAGCCTGATCACCTGGCGAACAGTAGGTTCACAAAGGCTACCTCCACCAAACCCTCGCAGTAGATAAGAACATATTTTTTTGTCACACTTCTCTTACTAACTTCTGCTTTACATTCTCTATGATAATGGGAAAGGACTGGGAATAATTCCACCATTTATTGGTGATGTTGATTAAATATATGTGAAAGATGCTCAGCTGAGCATGCAAAGCTCTGGCAGTTCATCCCAGGTGATGGTTTGGTGTTCGTAGTCCCTGGGAGAGCTGTGCATGCTGCCAGATTCTCCTCGCCTCGTTAATAACATTGCAACACCACTTGTGCAGATGCAATCTCTTCATAGGTATTCACTGGATGTTTTTCTCCTGTTCGCAAGCTTATTTAATTTTTTTTTTAATAAGTGGAAAAGAAATGCATTTGTATTTATGCATGTTTTGCAATTTCTCTTAAGAAATAATTTCTTTACCTGCAGGAACTTCAGAGGGACATAGAGAAACACAGCACTGGAGTGGCATCTGTTCTCAATCTATGTGAAGTGCTTCTTCATGACTGTGATGCTTGTGCCACAGAAGCAGAGTGTGACTCTATCCAGCAGGCTACACGCAATCTGGACAGAAGGTGGAGGAACATTTGTGCAATGTCAATGGAAAGGCGACTTAAGTAAGTCTAAAATGTCTACAAATTAGTATTTCCTTCCACAGGCACAAATACAGGACAGGATGTGCATTCTAGGGTTGCAGTACTGAAGAAAAGGGTGTAGGGGTCAGAAAAAGATCATACACTGAATAAAAGGCAATAGCTGTTATGCTGGGGGGAAAAAAATTTCGAATTGCGTTTGTATGTGCATTTATACAAGGTACAGATATCAGATTTTGCTCGCAAGACATCATGGAATGATGTCTTATTTCTCACACTTCATAGAAATGGTGAGAGAGCATCCCATCTAGGACAGCATGGGTGATTTTGATAGCCATCATGATGGAGGTTACGTTGGGCCAATGCAACATACTCTGTGCTGACCAGTAATAATACATGTTTAATTGTTTGAACTCCTGTAGCTATGAAGATCTTTTTCTGTGTCTTTTTAAGTTATGAATGTGATTTCTGTGATGTTTACACAGTCATATCAATAACTCTATGTAAACTATGACTTTTCAAAATGCCAAATTGAACTTTATATGCTCTTTGGTTTTGTGGGATATTCTCAATGGTTTTCTGGATTTTATGCGAAAAAATTGTTGCTTTTAGGTTGTGCTGCTCTATATCCACCGATTACTATCTTTAAGTAATTTTATACTATTGCCATGGTAATTCTTGTATAGTGTATGTATAAAAATACAGCTTATAAGTTCTGTCTTTGACACAGTCTGTCTTGAAACTATACAGATTCTTCATGCCTTTGTATGCTATTAGTAGATTTGCACCAGTAATTAACTGAGCTATCATTGTTTAGGATCTTTATTGTACTAGAAACAGTTATTCATATTAAAAAGTGACTTTCCAGATGTCAAACTTCAGGTTAAACAATATATCATCAACAAAGCATAAATTTTGCATAGGTCAGGTCCTTTTCAGACCTGCATATCTAAGATTTGGGAAAGATGTATTATAAAAACAGAGGTGTATTCGAAAAGTCTAAAACCAGAGAAGCTTCTGCTGTAGTACAACCTGTCCCAAAAAAGATCTAATTATTTTGAATCAAGTGATGTTTGAAGTTTTGGGGATTTTACAGTCTCAATGTTAAGCCAGTTTGATTTCAGGATCGAGAGTTAGCCACTATTTTTACATATTCAATGGAAGTCAAATTGTTTTTTTAAACATTGGAATAATTTTTAACGTTTTTTCTAAAAATAAGTTTTCAGTGTATATTGAGAGAGAGCATTTTACCACTTGGTGAATGCAAAAAAAAAATGTTTGTGCAATGCAGAACAATGACTGAGAACTTTAAAATATGTGCTGCAACATCTTTAGTATTCTGTGAGAGAAAGTTCCGCAGTTGAAGGTAGTGTGGAATTTCTAATCTATTAAATACTAGCTTAGGTACCTACACTGGGACTGTATTTCAGAAGGTATTTAGCATGTGCTCAGATTTTTTGAGCTCCTATTGCATACTTACAACTTTCTTTTTATACTGATTCCAAAATTAGATGCATTTAAAAAAAAAAAATTGCCATCATCTTACTCTAGCTCAGTCTGGAATGAGCCAACCTTCCCTGTGGTCTGTTTATCAGCCTGGCTGACTGAGTTATTTTAAGAGCCAGTCATTCTCTGGTGCAGCACTAGTTTGCTGTTGTAGATGATCAGTTAAAGTTCTGTAGGTCGGCTGGCCTTCAGCCTGGGCATTCCCTAACTTTCCATTCCCTGTTGCAGAATTGAAGAGACGTGGCGGCTGTGGCAGAAGTTTTTGGATGACTACTCTAGATTTGAAGACTGGCTAAAAATCTCTGAGAGGACAGCAGCTTACCCGAGCTCCTCTGGTGTACTTTACACGGTTGCTAAGGAAGAACTGAAGAAATTTGAGGTGATTTATAATAGTCGAAATTTAATATCTACTGATCACGTTACAGCAGCCAACTGGTGGTGTTCTTTCCCATACACAAGTCACTCAGCAGAGACACTGTATTAATATAGTGGAGTTGATGATTTTGTAGCTGCTTTCAGTGACAGGTTCTAGGGTGAAAAAACAGTGGAAAATGGCAACTGAAAATGCTAATAAATCAATCCACTCTGACTTGTTTGTTCTCCAAAGTTAGATTTCTCACTTTTTTTTTATTTCTGCAACTTTTTAATATGTCCAGTCGGTAGGTGCTCCAGACCATTCATAAGTCTCCCTTCACCAAATACCTCTACAAATGCATGCTGCGTGTTTTAGCTTTCGGTTTGATTTTATCCCTCCTTTCTGTAACTCTCTGAAACCAGCCCTCTGGACTCTTTTCCTGTTTCGTACAACATACAATATCCCCATTTGAGATCCTTATACCTGAAATTCATGTTTGTGCAAGTATTGTTGTATGTCCACATGGTGTCCCTCATGATTTAAAAGTTAAATGCATGCTTCAAAACTGACAAGCTGTCACTTCAGTCAACACTTAAGAGCTTGTTAAATAATTCCAGTGTCTCTACTACAACGTGAGAGCTTGTCTCATCATTACAATGGAATGTATAGCTGTGTGTAAAGCACACACCTCAGGTGGCTAGTCACAGGTGAAAATCTTTTGCTTGGTTCCATATTTGCAAGGAGTATATCCAGATCGGAGAGAAAAATAATTCTGAGGAAAGAGAACAAATTGTTTAGGCAATTCTGTAAACAGTCAGGTGCTGTAAAGCATTTGCTGTGAAGAAGAAATGCAAATTTTAAGCAACGTCTAAGACCAGTTAATACTTTTTGGTTTAACAATTAATTCAGAAAGATAAACTGTGAAGCGCTGATTCAAGTTTTATAATTAACATTCACATTTCTGAGTGTACTGGCCAGGTTTTGTTGTTAAACACTGCCAGACTTCATTATGGTGAGGTAGGTTGCCATACTACTAAAATGTTTGCTTCCTGGACACAAGTGCTCTGTCTCAGACCTCCTTCCCATTGTCCCTTTAATCAGTGATCAGGATCTAAATCTCTTGTTTAGTGAGACTCTGTATGAGAAATAGTATGAAAAATATCTTGGCTGTCTTTGATTTCTTACAGCTGACCTGACTTTGCCCAAAGTCTGTTTCATTGAACCTCGGCCTTTATGGTGACCTTCCCTCTCCTGCAGACTTGTGGAATTTTTAGTGTCTACAGTGTCAGCAGGA